TGGGGGAACGCTCTGGGAGCTTGCAGTGGAAATCAGAGATGAATTATAATTAGCAGAGGAATTGGCAGCAGGGGGGGACACGAAGAGTTTGATTTCCATGGTGCTCAGTAAAATTGGAGGAAAAGACTTTGGGGAGCTTTAAAAGGAAATTCAGGGTGGGGAATGCAGGAGGAGGCTGAAGCTGCAGGGTGGAGCATCAGGTGGAGATGCAGGATGAGCCAGGCTGGGGTTCCTCCTGCATGGGGACATTCAATTTACAATTTACAATTACAATTAAAATTACAATTACAATTAAAATTACAATTACAATTAAAATTACAATTACAGTTAAAATTACAATTAAAATTACAATTAAAATTACAATTAAAATTACAATTAAAATTAATTAAAATGACAATTAATGCCATTGCAATTGATGAATTTCTCTTTCTCCCCCAGGTTACATTCCCTTTGGAACCCCCATCGTGAGTACCGGGCTGGGGACACCCAGAAATGCAATTCTGAGCAGTTCCCACCTCTGCACCTCGGGACATTCCCAGGGATTCCCTTCCCCATTTCCCCAAAAATCCCCAGGGTTCTGTCACGGAAACCACACCCAATAAATTCATTATTAGGGGGTTTTTATCTATTCATCCATTGAGGTTGTTGAGCCATTGTCTAATTATATAATAGAAGAGATAATATAATAATATATAATTAATAATTATCTATTCATACATTGAGGTTCTTCATCTATTATCTAATTATATAATAGAAGAGATAATATAATAATATATAATTAATAATTATCTATTCATCCATTGAGGTTCTTTATCTATTATCTAATTATATAATAGAGTAGTAATATAATAATATATAATTAATAATTATCAATTCATCCATTGAGGTTATTGAGCTATTATCTAATTATATAATAGAATAGATAATATAATTATATATAATTAATAATTATCTATTCATCCGTTGAGGTTCTTGATCTATTATCTAATTATATAATAGAGTAGTAATATAATAACATTAATAATTATCTATTCATCCATTGAGGTTCTTGATCTATTATCTAATTATATAATAGAGTAGATAATATAATAACATTAGTAATTATCTATTCATCCATTGAGGTTATTGTGCTATTATCTAATTATATAATAGAGTACTAATATACTAATATATAATTAATAATTATACATTCATACATTGAGGCTATTGAGCTATTATCTAATTATATAATGGAATAGATAATATAATTATATATAATTAATAATTATTCATCCATTGAGGTTATTGAGCTATTATCTATTTATATAATAGAGTAGATAATATACTAATATATAATTAATTACGTATTCATCCATTGAGGTTCTTGATCTATTGTCTAATTATATATTATAGAGTAATTATATAAATTTATATAATTTATATATGTAAACTATATATTATATATAAATATATATGAAAATATATATAAATTATAGAGTGATTATATAAATTGCATAAATGTACATAATTTATATATGTAAATCATATATTATATATATATTATATATAAATTATAGAGTATTTATATAAATAGAGTAGATAATATGCTAATATATAATTAATTACCTATTCATATATTGAGGTTCTTGATCTATTATCTAATTACATAATAGAGTAGATAATATACTAATATGTAATTAATAATTATCTATTCATCCATTGAGGCTCTTGATCTATTATCTAATTATATAATAGAGCAGATAATATGCTAATATATAATTAATTACCTATTCATACATTGAGGTTCTTGAGCTAATATCTAATTATATAATAGAATAGATAATATAACAATATATATAATTAAAAATTATCTATTCATACATTGAGATTCTTGATCTATCATCTAATTATATAATAGAGTAGATAATATACTAATATATAATTAATTATCTATTCATTCATTGAGGTTATTGATCTGTTATCTAATTATATAATAGAATATATAATATACCAATATATGATTAATAATTATCTATTAATACATTGAGGTTATTGATCTATTATCTTTTAGGTTATTGATGAATTTACCCAACCTCAATTTGAGGGTATTTATCTACTCTTGAGGTTATTTATCTGTTAATGTATTGGTGTTATTTATCTGTTCTACATTCTATCTATATTTATATTCTATATATTCTATGTATTTTATATATTCTATATATTCTATTTATTCTATTTATTCTATATTCTATATATTCTATCTATTCTATATATTCTGTCTATTCTATCTATTCTATATATTCTATCTATTCTATATATTCTATATATTCTATCTAGTCTATATTCTATATTAT